GATACTGATATGTGTTTTTCTTATCATGCAATGTCTGTCTACTTTGTGTGCCAGGATAATTAGTGTTCATGTCACAGGCTGAGTTAGGAAGCGTCAACTGTGACTCAATTTTCTTGGAAAGTTCCTGTAAAACTGTTATTGCTTCTTGCTGAAATATTGGACAGAACTCACCAGTGAAGCCATCTGGACCTGAAGGGTTTAGGGGAAATATATGAGCAAAATTTTAATCTAATGAGTACGAGACCAAGCTCATTTACTATAGGGCCACACTCATTTACTGCCTCTCGAGTAAACACTGACACTATGGTTCTCCAAGAACTGGCTCCCTTCATATAAAATTTCAAATCTGTTGGCATAAAGTGCCAGTGCTGGTCCCCAGACTATCTTTTACTTCCTCTAGGATCTTGACTGTCATATTCCATGCTGTATTCTGATATTTTTTTTTTAATTTTGTCTTCCATCTTCAGAAGCTAGATATAAAAGAACAGAGTGAACCCAGGGTAAGGAAAAGAAAGGGCAAAAATTGGTGAAAAGAAGTGGGCAAAAGACAGGAAAACTACAAGCAGGATCTTTAGAGTTGACCAAAAAAAAAAAAAAAAAATGGCAACCCGACCCACACTAACAGTTGGTTTTCCTCACTGCAGGCCATGCTCTCCTGTGGCTTCTTCACCTGCTGAGTAGTTTGTGACTGGCTGTTAAACTCTCCGTAAGAGGCTGCTGGATGCTGCTAGGGAAATTCTCTCTGCTACAAGCTGGGTGAGCAGAGTGCTCTGCTCACTCAGCTGCTCCCTGAGTGGGGACCACTGTCCAAGGGTGTGTGCTGTCTAGTGTTTGAAACATGGGTGCCTGCACTTAGCATGGTTCTGTTGTCTCAAGGCAGGAGGATAAACTGGCAACTGTTCTTTCATGTTCACTGGACACAGATGTGATCCATCACCCAGTTCTTAAAAGCCCTGCAAGGAAAGACCGTGGAAGACTTTGAGGACGGAGCTTGGCACCTGTTTAGCTCACCTCTTGCTCTCTCACCTTTGCTATCTGTGAACTGCTTGGTAAGTGTGAACATTTAAAGACACAGCAATGCACGTGCCCCGCGATCAGGGAAAGGCCTGCTGTGAAGGATGCTCATGATGACTGCCCTGCTGTAGACACCGGCCACCTTCACATATATTAAGTTAGTTCACTTCAGAACTGCTGAGGGGAGGACCTCTGTGCACCGGCTTCTTCTTTGAATCATTTTACATCTTTCTGGTTCTTATTAATAAATACAAACTAGCTCTCATATCAATTTAAAAATCTTTAATACCTGCGTGGTGGCTTGAATAAGGATGCTCCCCACCCTTATAGGCTCATATCTTTGGATACTTAGGCCCAAGTTGGTGGAACTATGAATAATTGTGTTCTTGTTGGAGGAAGTATGTCACTGGAAGCAGGCTTTGAGGGTTCAAAAGACTTGCATCATTGTGTGTGTGTGTGTGTGTGTGTGTGTGTGTGTGTGTGTGTGTTCGTTCACGCGCAATCCTACCTATGGATCAAGATGTGAGCTCTCAGCTATTCCTATCACAGCTTTGCTCCAACATCATGGAATCTAAACCCTTTGAAATTGTAAGTCCCAAATGAAATGCTTTCTTTCATGAGTTGCCTTGGTTGTGGTATTTTATCACAGCAATAGAAAAGTAACTAAGACAACCCTCTTGTTTTATATTTGTACAAATAACATTATATCCTGTTCTGTTTTTAAATTATCCTTACAGTGCTACCAAATTCAAACAACCTAGAAGTTCTGGTAATAGAAAAATAACTTCAAAAACTCAAAGTGTACCATATAAGGAAATACCGCTAAGCTACTCAAATAGTTCTGAGTATTAGCTTAGAGAAAAGGGTATTTGTATGTGAACCACTTATAGAAGATATAATATATTCCCCTGCAGCCCCACATAGACAGATACATACATATTAATGCATGTGTGTATATCAAGTTGGATGTGGAATGTAGCAGAGAAGATATTTTTAACTTTTCTTTGTTCAATTTCTTTAGAATGATATTCAACTAACAACTGCCCCTCCCCTTCTCTCTCTCTCTCTCTCTCTCTCTCTCTCTCTCTCTCTCTCTCTCTCTCTCTCTCTCACACACACACACACACACACACACACACACTACATGCCAGGCAGGCAAATGCTTGGCCACACCAACACACAAGGCAAGAGGCCCCTGTTCTGAGAGCTCAAACACTAAAGTATATTACCTTTGTCAATATCAATAAAACTGAAACTAATTTTCTAGCTACCCCACCTTTAAGGCTGGAAGAAACAAAATCAGCACAAAGTCAGCAAGGGCTTCTCCTAATCTCCCTTGGAGGCTGTCCATGACTACACCAAGAAAAAGGTTCCTCATGCCAACCATGATGCACAGATGTTCAAGAGAGCAATGTCTGTCCTGTTCATGCTGGTGCCTCCCAGATGAATGAAGTTAATATGAATGAATGATGAATGAACAAACAAACTAATAAATGAGTGAGCTGAGGAAACAGCTCTGAAATTTACTGTGGTATGTACATTTGGCACTATAATTGCAATGGCATGCTAAACTATGTAGGAGAGGCCTTATTCCTCATTCTCCCCAATTTTCACAACATGAACCCTTTGTCCTCACCATACATTCAGAGCACAAGCTGCAAGCTCATTCATGCTTCCCTCCAATGAGGGTGAAGAACCAGGGCCTGGCCAAACAGCCAGTGGAGAGTGAAGGCAAGTATGCAACACCAGCAAGACCCCTCAGATCAGCACTGAGAGCCTGCCTTAGAAGGCAAGTACCCAGATGAAATTAATCAGATATACACAGTGCAAGCCAGACCTAGCTCTAGTCACACAGCTCCTGTACTGGCTTTCTCTGGTGAGTACCCCCAGAACCAAACTCACATGCACCATCTCCATACTCTCAGGCCTAGCTCCAAAGCCACAGTTCTGGATTTCTGTGATGAGCATCTTGGGACATCACTGACCAGAGTTATCCTCAAATACCCAGACCTAGCTTCCACTTGCTCTTGTTGCTCTCACAGGAATGCCCTGGCCTCACCTGACAGGAGTCTATCATCCCACCATGTCATGCCTCCATCTGTCACCAAGGAACCAGGAACAGAGACTCAGAGGGCCAGAGGAGCCAGCTGGGGCCCAGTGTAAGGCTGCATCTCCCACCCAACTATCCATGCTGACACCATGGCATGCTGGGAACACTGCTCCCTTGTACCTCAGAGTAATCCTAGATATGACTCTCCCTACACTAATCACTCTTAGAACTGGTTTACAACCAACGGAGTGATGCCATCTCTACTGTGGCCATCGCCCACACCAAGGTCCATGAGCTCCCTGGTTTAACCTAAGAACATGCACCATATCATACAGGGACTATGAGAACAGGAGGAATACATGCCTACCACCTTGTGGGTATCCACACAATCATATGAGCTCATAAAACAATCTCAAGGCCATGTCAGGCACACCAGCTCCACAAGACCCAGACCTGGTACTCCAGAGACAAGGTTCATGGCTCCCAGACCCTGAACTCAACTAGTCCCTCACCACCTATGACCACCTCTGACATGGCTCGGATCTGCTCACTCACTGAGATCTTCTTCTGACAGAGGCCTCCATATTCACATACCACCTCAGACCCTTTCACAACAGGTCTCTGGCCCACCTTTGCTACCTTCGGCCTCCTATGCAGGACCTGCCCCTGCCCCTCACTACCTCAGACCCTTCCCTGACAGGGTCCTGACCAGCCCCTCTCTAAATCAGGCCCTCCATGGCAAAGCCCATCTCCTTATGACCTCAGATCCTTAAATGGTAGGGCCCTGCCCTGCTCCACATTGTCTTAGGCCCTTCTGTGACTACCAACTAATCTGTCCCAACCCAAGCATACTCAGGGCCTTTCCTTCCTTGGCCTTAAATATACACCAAAAATCTGCCTTACATCCCTAACGAGAACCAAGCGTAAAACCTGGATGATGGGAGACTCAGAAATGCTAGGTTCGGATTGAATGAGCCCACATCCAAATGCCTAGTAGACATATGTGGTGGCCAGTAGGGCAAAGAGCTGCCAAGTGTTGTGTGGATGAAAAGACTCAGCCCCAAAAGACCTACATCACTGTACCCAGGATGACCCGTACAAACTGTGACCGCCCCGCCCCCCAACCCTGTCTCTACCAGCCTGCACCTAAAGCAAGCTGCAGAGCTACAGGCAGGTGTGCACCATGCGCCCTGGGATATCTATAATTCCCGGTCTCTTTGTCTCCTTCATGGCTTGGGTCCCACCCTTGTCCACCTCCACCCAACAAATAAACAAAGCTGAGAGAATTAAGCACCAGAGTCCTGGCCTAACCCTGTGGGAACTTTTGTGTACAAATACAGCGTGCCTTGCTGTCCTCTGGGCTGTGGTCACTTACCCAGTTACCTTGGTTTACCCTTCTTGGCTGCTCAGCCCTTCCCATCCTCTAGGTCTACATATCATCTGCTCAGAGGTCTGTCATCCACCCAGAGCCAACTGCAGAACCAGGTGGCTGCTTGCTGCATTAAGTCATCCTCCTCCTGGGACGTACTTGGAGACTGCTGCCTACCTATTCAAAGTGACACCCCCATTGCTTCCCACCCAGACCTGTGGCAGGCCCCATGTGGTCATGTCATCTGTATGGGCCTGTCCATGTTCATGCTGCAGCTAGGGGAATCCTCCTGAAAAGTCCTATTCATCATGGTACAGACACCCAACCTCAAAGAAGCACCCCCACCAAGGCCCTCTGTGTTCTCTGTTTCCCTCCCTTCCAGATGGGAGCCAAAGAGCCAAGTGTCAGTCATTGGGAGATGATAACAACTGCTTCCCAGGACTGACCTAGTGACAGCCGTTCCTGCGCTCCACGTGGACAAGATGTAACCTTGGCATCCAAACACCACAGTGAAGATACTCACCACCCAAATGGCTACTCGGAAAGTGCTTGCTCAGAGGCTCTTACCTGGTAAAATTCCCGAAGCCAGTTCTTCTGCAGGTTTTCTGGCTGTAAATGAAGAGGAAAGGGGAAATTAGAGCAGAGCCACTACCCCAAACAGGGAGCAGAGGCTCCAGTGAGGAAACCTGAGGGCAAGCCTCACAGTGAGGAACTAGGGGTGTGCATGGGGGACCTCTATCCACATGGGGTCTGTACTCCTCAGAGGGAGACCATCCACACACAAGCTGGGCCCTGTGGGCTGCCCCTGTGATGCAAATTGACATTTAGCCAGAGTCAGGCACAGGGCACCTATGTCCCACTGACCCACATCCTTGCTCTGTCCCCAGCTGGGGCTGTAGGGAAGGAGACAGGAGCGGCATCATAGATCTGCTTCCAAAGGACAACAAAGCCGAGCAGCAGCATCCCTGCTTGAACCAGAGCCACTATGCAGTGCCGCATGGGCACACACCATCCGACGCCATGGGGCTCTGCTGGGAGTTGGGGCAAGGGGAGGGTGCTGTGGGGAGGGTGATGCTTGGGGAGTTAATCCCAGTGCTCAGAACTTTCAAGAAACAGCGGACAGGTGGAAACCCCATGCCGTGTATGTACAGTGTTCTCAAACAAGAAGCAGGACCAGAAGAGCCAAGTATCAGCCATGACAAGCCCTGCTCAGGGAAGTAGGAAGGAGCTGTGGTCACACTTAAAGGCCCCCAAACCTTGACAGTGCTCCCTTAGGCTCCGTGCCAGTCAGGCCCAGGGCAGTGTAGCCCAACCAAGCCCAAGTGTGGGACTCAGCCAGGGCCTGGTGTGAGCAAGCATGAGATGCCCTGGATAGGTCTTGGTCAAAAGGCGGCATGGGGGAGGAGAGTCAGTGTCCCATGAGCAGGCTAGTGCTGCCCTGGGCATGTCAAAGCCATCCAATAATGCAAATGTACTCTGCCCTCTGCAGTACACACTTAAAAAACTGCAAATGTCATAGACATATATTATATGTCTGTCTGTCTGTCTGTCTGTCGGTTGGTTGGTTGGTTGGTTTTTCACAAGGCCTGCCTCTGCCACTGACTGAAGTCACTGCCCAGTATATCCCAGATAGGCAGAACCTGAACACCCACCCACAAGCAAGGCTCAGAGGAGCAGAGCCCAGGCTGTCTAGCCATGGCTAGGCCTGAACTACTCCCAGAGTTTTGTCCACTGAGTGTCCTGAAAATCATGGACAGAGAACTGCAGGAAAATTAATTATGGGGAAAAGTTGGCAAGGAAAAAGAGCATCACAGACCTCACACAAGGAACACAGAGGAAACCGGACATTAACCAACTCTCAAATGGATGCCTTAGCGGGACTCCCAGGTGGGTTCCACACACACAGGAGACACTGCCTCCCTGCCTTGTTCCCACTGAAAGCGGCAATAGGGCACTACAAAGACAAGCCAGAGTGCGGCAAGGACAGGCAGAGAGGCCAAGCACAGGCAGAGGGTCAGCATCACTTGCCTCAGAGAAAATGCCAATCCAAAACCACAAAGGATCCTAGTACGGTGGGGCACACTGTAATCCTAGTGTTAGAAAACAGAGGTAGGAGGGTCACTGCAAGTCTGATGGTAGCCTGGTCTACAAACTGAGTTCTAGGACTGTCAGGACTACACAGGCAGAGCCAATCTTTAAGATAGATAGATAATAGATAGATAGATAGATAGATAGATAGATAGATAGATAGATAGATAGATAGATAGATAGATAAATGATGAATGAATAAATAAATTAAATAAATAATAAATAAATAAATAAATAAATAACCAACCAACCAACCAATCAAGGCAGATGGTACAATGGTTAGGATCTAAAACAGTGTCAGCGAAGAGTAGCCAACAGAAACCCTCTACACTGCTGAAGGGAGCAGTTTAGGCTGGTCCTTGAAATGCTAACTCTGGACACCATCTAACCAGCAAGTCCCCGGCGTATTCTCCAGACAAGTAAAAATGCTTTCCACGTGGAAACTGAGGTTGACAGCAGCCAAAAGACAGACACAGCTGAATGCCCACGTGAAAGGGTACAGGAGATGGGACACATACACATAGAGGACAGTCTCAGCAGGTCTGGCCCGCGGGCCTCACTGCTCCTCTGGGCCAGGCAGAAGCTGAGCTCTTCAAAGGGGCTCTGTAGTGCAGAGAAAAACGAGTGCCTTGCCCTGCTAAACTCGGGCTTCCATGTGCTTACAGCAAGTCTCTCAGCAGGGGACACCGGCAACCCAACACAATTCTCTCCGAGCTACTTGTCATAGGGGCCCCAACCCACACAGTCCCATCTATCCAGTACTCCCACTGCTCACACAAACGGACACATGTGTCATTAGGTTTCAGAACCAGAGCATGGGATCCTTAATGGAGACAAGAGGAAAAGCCATACTTCAAGACAGGGTAGCAGGAATGGTCTGAACTGAGCAAGGACAAGGGAAGCCTAGGTTCTAGACTCAGTTCTCACTTCAATAGCACCCAGGCATGTTGCCATTTCTGCACTACCTCTACAGAAGAAGGCAAATGAGGAACCGGCTGAAGGGTACCTTCCCCAGCCTAGAGCATACAGTACTGGCCTCTCCTGTCACTTGCGCACATGAGCTTTGCACATAACAACTGTACTGAGGGACACCTGCCTAGGAACATAGGGTAATGATACCAAGTCCTGGCACAATCCTGTACTGCCAGGGACTTTGGCATGGTGATATATGTGCACCTGTGTCTCATGACCACTCAGCTGGCTAGACATGGACTAGGCATAGCTAGACACTAACACGGCACACCTTTAAGCCTGAGACCCCTCGCTCTGTCCCTCCTATGTAGATGAAAACACACTTTCAGCCTCCGTGGGAACCAGCGGAGCACCTCCACAGCCTGCACCTTCCCCTGATATCCGCATCTTAGTGCCTCACTGTCCAGAGAAGTCAGAGATCCCAACACGTGCTCTGCCCACTCAAACCTCACCTCTGCTCATCTCCTCATACGAGCACAAAACCACCCAGAAAGAAGGGGAGGTGAGGCAAGCAATTCCCGGCACAACTTGGCTCTGCCACCAGGACATACCCACAGGCCCACACCGACCACATGCTCCCTGGTTCTGGCTCACACCAGGAAGTCCAGCTGTGCGAGACCTGGACCCCACACCCATCTCAGCTGCTGTATCAGTACAGCATCTGCCTTATTTGGAAATGGATCAGAACCAGGGTGATACTGCCAGAGATCCAGTTTCATCCTGTACGGAACCTGGCAAACCCCACCAAAGTGGCCCTGCCAGGAATCATGCTCAAGGCTACACGGACATGGCTGTGAGAGCATATGTTCACACTTCGGGAAGTACTTTGGGACTGCAAGCCCCTCCAATCCAGTTTTTGGATCACGGTCTTGTTTAGAACATTAATCTGACTTTTCCCTGTGTTCACTGTGGATGCACAAGAACAGCACCAAGAAAGTGCTTTAGACAAAAGTAACCTCTGTGCTTACTATTTGTAAGAGGTCACTTCAGCTGTGGAAGAATTAGACAGCCATCTACATACATGACTGAAAATGCTCCATGGAAAGCAGGGAGAGGAAAACTTGAAAAGGACAAGGTCAGCACTACAATGAGTCATAGGAAATGCCCACCAGGTCCGATGGACATGCTCCCTCACCACTGACCAGGCTCCTCCGGGTCCTCGTGAACTGCCTTCTCACTGCTCTGATCTCACAGACCTTCACTCCTTCCTATACTCATTCACACACTCTCACAGGTTCCGTACTCACAGTGTCATGCATGCTCACTCACACATGCTCACTCTCCCCAGCTCTACACTCATTTGTGCCCACACCCACCTGTATCCATACTCAAGTTCACTCTCAGGCTCCACACTCACCTTTACCCACGTTTACCTATGCCCACACTCACTCTCACAGGCTCCACACTCACCCATGCCCATGCTCACTCTCACGTGTTCCACACTTACCAGTCCATGTCCACACTCACCCATGCCCATGCTCACTCTCATAGGCTCCACACTCACCCATGCCCATGTTCACTCTCACAAGCTCCACACTCACCTGTCCATGTCCACACTCACCCATGCCCATGCTCACTCTCACGTGTTCCACACTTACCAGTCCATGCCTACACTCATACATGTTCACTCTCACAAGTTCCACACTTACCAGTCCATGCCTACACTCATTCTCACACATGTTCATTCTCACAAGTTCCACACTCACCAACACCCACATTCACACTCACACATGTTCATTCTCACAAGTTCCACACTCATACATGCCCATGCTCACTTTCACAAACTCTGTGCTCATCTGTGCCCACACACTGTCTCACCTACTCAAATATTTGTTCTATCATATACTGCCATGTACTTGCCTCTCTCAGACCATCACACTCCCACAACCTTTCCCCTCAGGGTGACCATCACTGTAGTGACGTCCCCACTCCTCAGCTCATCATGGATCTGCCCACATGCAGCCCATCCCTATGTCCTCTGCTTTTACCACTGAAGCAAGCGGAGCACCACGTTGACTACACTGCTCAGCCCCAAACTGCTACATTTCTTCCTCCACAGTGTCTCCTGTCTGCTCTTCCCCTCTCAGTCTTTGTTCCTGCAGAGTAGTCTCCAGAGGACACAGCCAGCCTCCAAAACAGTGTCAGCCCTCCAGAACTCAGTCTTCCTCATCCCTCAGTAAAAGACAACAACCTCCAGATCTTCAGAACCACCAGGCCTGAGCTCCTGACCCTTGGTCCACATCACACAGTGCAGACTCTGCTTCTTTGACATCAGGGTCTCTACATTTTGTCCTCAGAGTCTTAGAAGCTCAACACTGCTACCATGCATGATCACAGGCCACCGCCTCCCCCAGCATGCCATCCCTGGGTTACCGAGGCTCCCCAACCAACAGCCAACAGTCAATCAATCAATCCTATGCCCGTATTTTTCCATCCCAAGCAAGCAAGCTACATCATAGTCCTGCCCTGCCTCCCTCAGAAGCTGTCATCTCCTAACCCCTACACATTTCTTCCTAGCTCTGCCCCCCCACATGAGCTGTAAGACTCAG